GTGCTGAACAGGTCTGTTTGACCTGGAATGTTTAGGTGTGATCAAATGCTTAATGATTTGCTGGAAAAGGGAGCTCATAACCTTAAGTGTTGTGTTACTTGCGAGATCTGATGATCACAAGATACCCAAAGTAAGGCTTTTAAGGACCAATATTTGTATCAGTTTCACTCTGGTGCAACTCCATTAGCTTTGTAATATGTTCTGTTGGTATAGGTGGGCACAGAATTTGTCTTTACAGGAAACCATCACACTTAAGAAACCTAAACAACTCTGGAAAAAGCTTAAATGCTGAACTGTACTGACTTCTAATTTGAGAACCCAGGCTGAAAATCTGACCAGAGCGCCTTTGTATTTCCAAGTGGATGAAAAACAGCCTCTTGTGTTTCAGTACATGGTTTCTGTATCCACCCATACACAAAACAGAGGGTTTTGTGGTTCATTCGCAGAGCCTGCAAACCTTGAAAGGAGAGTTCAGCTAAGTTTGAAAAAAAATAAAAATGTGGTTACAGGTGACAATTCAAGAAGTTTCTTCTTTTGCCTGAATCATTCCACTCATCCTGGTCATTTCCCGTCTCTTGGATTCTTGCCCTAACCAAAACCTTTGAATACCTTACAACCCAAACCTCCCAATTTGTGCAAGCTTGCTCCTTCCCTTTCAGCTCCTACCCCACTGTAGTTTAATCAGAGAAACAAGTTCTAGTGGTGATTTTGAAGGACACATTATAAAAATTAAAGAGTTTAAAAATAGTCACAAAGGAATTGTGTTTCAGAAGAAAGCCTTCCTCTCCCCTGGGTGAACAATTTGACCAATTCTCAAGCAGATGAGCCATCATTCTCATCCAATGGATATTTTATAATAAGGTATCCTATTAGCACCCTATAAACAGCAAACACCAGATCACTACTCCTTCTCTCCTCTCCAAAATTATAAATTGCATTGCCAGATCTCTCCCAGTTCATTTTCCCCCTTCTAAGCCATATCACAAGCACATCTGTTCTATGTCCCATTTCATCATGATCTGGCCAAGTTTCCAGACCTCTGTTCTCTCATGTTGCTGTGAAGTACAAATACATAAAGCTGGATCAATCCAATGCTCATTCTCAACCCCAGCTGCAGTTAGGAAGGTGCTGAGCAGACAGACATTCACCAGCCATATAATTGCACCCTGGTAATTACAAACCCCATTGTGAAAGGGTATTAATTCAGTCAAGCCTCCTTTCACAATACATCTCTCTAGCACCAGCACATCGTTTTGTTTTCCCAGAAAGGTAAGTAGTAGTCTAGTCTAAATCAGAGGAGGGGGAGGAGAGAACAAACATTCTCCCAAAACTGCACTGGTTTTGCTCAATCAAGCCAAAATGTAGGATTACTACTTTAAAAGTAGACATTATTATTCTGTTACTTATTGCTCCATGATTAGGAAGCATGTACTTGTGTTTCCTTCTTGCTGATGAAATTCTGGATTTCACCCAATTGTAGACTGAACTATATAATCTCCTTGTCAAAAGCAATTTCTTGAAGAGGACTGCTAGGAGTGCCAAGCAATGTTATTACATGTTTCAAAGACAGTGCAGCAAAAAGGTGCCAAAATAACTTTAAAAGCTAGAATTACCCAAGCTAAAACAGAACCAGTGAATGAAAAAAAGAAAAGAAAAATGTACACATCTTACTGTAAAGTGAATCCATGGGGGGATGGGACAATGGAGGGAGGGAGAGGAGCAAGCATGCTCACCATTCCTGC